CTGGGGAAGAAAGAGACCACGTTAAGATGAATTAGTTCATCAGCACAGGAGATCTCCTTATGACTACGATTACAACTGTGAACGAAGACCACCCACAACTTCACCCTGTGGAAAGTTTTGAGGATTTGGGCAGAAGATGCCAGAGAAACACCAACTCTTGGCTCTAAGCAGCAATTTGGAAGGGATGAGTAACCCCAGACACCCAGTCGGAATTGAAACACAATTCTTCAACTCGTCCATTCTGTGGTAGAAGTACTGCAGCATCAAAAAGCCCAATGGAAATAGGCCACATGTTGAAGCCAACAAGATGCAGCAACGCTTGAAGGGTCTGAAAATCTTGGGCTACATCAGTCTCACGTTTGGAGCATTACTCTGTGACCATTACACTTCCAGGAAACAATCAGAATTAAAAGGTGGAGGCAAATGGAGAAGGAATTCTTATATACAAAACCTACTTAAGCAAAGATGGATGGGGCTTCAATCTCCTGCAATGACTCAATGCTGTTTCATAGCCCAAAGTTTATTCTACTTTTGCACTCAACAGAAGCTATTTTATTATTTTTTTTTTTTAAGGTTGTCCTTTATTTGCTTGTTCCACGTGTCCCATATTACACAAGCTCTGATAAATCCTTAACGAAGCCCACCATGACCAAGACCAAAATTTCATATTAAGCGTATGCAGGAAATGCCCGTTTTCAGTGACAAGAATGACAGTCACTGTGGGCAACTGCACAGAATAACTCAAGGAAAATCTTTACCTTGATGAAATCCTTTTCCTTAGGGTGCACAACTGGGATGGAGGAAGAAATTTTGTTGATGTACATCAAAACAGAATCACAGAATATTCATGGTTGGAAGCGACCTTCAAGACCATTGAGTCCAACCACACAAAAAACCAAACCAACAAAAAAACCCAAATCATCCCACACCCACCCACAGACAGACACAACCCAACAGTCTCGGGCACTAGAGCATGCCCTCAAGTGCCACGTCTACAGGCTTCTCAAATCCCTCCAGGGATGGTGACTCCGCCTCCCCCCTGGGCAGGCTGTTCCAGTGCCTGACCACCCTCTCAGCAAAGTCATTCTTCCCAAGATCTCATCTAACCCTCCCCTGCCCCAACTTCAGACCATTTCCTCTGCTCCTGTCATCATTCCCCTGGGAGACGAGGTCAACCCGCACCTCTCGACACCCTCCTTTCAGGGAGTTGGAGAGGGCAATCAGGTCTCCTCTCAGCCTTCTCTTCTCCAAACTCAACATGCCCAATTAACCCCCAAGCCTGTATCTAACATTGTGCCACTAGCACTGGACACAAAGCCTTTCTTCAGTGTCATGGATGAACCTGTAAAATGGGTCCCACGTAGTTAACACAACCCTTATCGCACGTAAATTAAACTTCAGAGCAGCCCAAACTCACCTTTTATTCCAATTCCTCAAGGGCAGCAATTCCTACTGACGACCACGCTCTATTTAATTTCCGCCTCCCAGATACAGCATTTTAGTGCTCAACGACCAAGCCTCTAAAATATACAAAACCGTTAAAAGAGTTAACTTTGTGCAAGCCAAACACCGGCTCAAAGTATTTACTGTGAGCTGGGTTGCTAAAAAGGCAGAAAAGGGCATTTGAACCCAAGTCAAAAACCCTTAAGGGCTCTTAAGTATTCCCTACCAAGTGCTTTCCAACCTGGGGAAAGCCAAATCATCACAATATACGTGACCAGTGCAGTTAGAAACGAGCTTTATTGTTGCAGTTTGAAGTTATTTACACAATATAAATCTCTCGGAAAGGTACATTACTTCATTTAACAAGTGGTAGAAGGCCTTATAATAGCTTTAACAACATTGAGTTTAAAAGAAATACAATTCACTCCAATGGATAAATGATGCATCTAAACTCCACAACACACAAGAAGGGTCATGGGGACTTTTTTTTTGGGGGGGGTGGGGGGGATGACAGTGCTGGAAGATGACAAAGGCTTATTTGTAAATTGAGCTTATTTTATTCACAGGACAAATGGACTCGTGTTTAAAGAACACTAGGAAATATGCAATAAAAAAAAAAAAAAGGACACAAAATGGAATATATCCCTAACATACTACAGCCCTGCTTCTGCAAGTGTTTAAAGGGTTTTAGATAACTGGATTAAGAGGCTTGAGACAGAACCAATGAATCTAACTAAGCCATATTGAAGAAAGATTTGATACATTCTCGGTGCTGAGACTATTCAAAGCACTTGTGTACAAAGCAGCATTAACTACCACAGACCGCATTGGAGATACAAGATGTTCAAATGAACATTTCTACAAAAAAAAAAAAAAATTTCTTTCACGCACTGAAGACTTGACACCTACCATTTTTTTTGATAAAACTTATGAATTACTACCACCAAAAGCTTAGAAACATACACCTTTTCCTTCTTTATGCTGCATTTTATGGCATTGTATAAGTTTTTCATGTTTCTCTTCCATGGTCTCTTTCTTCTTGTGCCTTGCATGGATCTCTAGGTGGAAAAAAAAAAAAAAACCCTTTACGTAGAAAAAAAACCAGAGTTGCAATACCACAAAAATAGGCTGGTGCAGTACCTGAAGTTATTTCAGCACTTCTTTTCCAAGTTCGTTAGATTTCAAGTAACATGTTTGCTTTCTAAATGTTTAGCCAACTTTTCATTTCCACCAGGTTTTCTCTGTCCCCTCTGGACAAGCATCAAGTCAAACCCATTTTAGACCTCCATGAATTGCGAGTCCCACCCCACCGGGAACCCGAGACAGCGGCTCCACCATTCTAAAAAGCTACAGAAACACCCAACTTAAAACCTTCAACCAGAAGTTTATTAATCTGGCGAAGTCCAGCCACCTGTTCTAAGATCAAAAGGGGCTTCGGGCCCCTTCCAGTCAGTTTTCACAGTAATAATAAAATCCTTTATTAAAGAATCTGGTGCAGAACACCACCTATACTATTAAATACACAGAAAAGCCCAACACACACTTGAAGCATTGCAACTAATCAACTGCATAGGTTTTGGGTTTGTTTTTTTTTTAGTCATCTCTTGGATTTCTTCCAAATTTTTAATTCTTAAATAAAAATTCGGACATCTTCCCTCTCCCCCCAAGATGGGTTTCCCAACCACAGGAACTTAAAATCTCTACGGATCAGACCCACTGGAAAAGTCACTTTAAAAAAAAAAAAAACAACCTAACAAAGCTTTTTCCAGTCTCTCCATGTCACTTGGAGGGAGCAGCCCCACACAACTGGCACACATACCCCTTCCACACCTTTCCCTTCCCACCCCAGAGGTCTTCAAGCCATAAAGTTTGGTTACTTCTGCCATGTCCCCTCTGGATCTATGTGGTTTCTCACTGCTGAGAGCCCCTTTCTTCAAAGCTGGGTGGTGGGCTCTCAGAACACCTACCTTGCACAAGACCATCCTTCCCAACTACTGAAAACAATCAGCCCCCAGTAATAAAAAGGGGAGAAAAGAATCAGCTGCTCAGCATCTGCCTTGCATTACCTGAAGGTTTGATCAAATATTTTTTCTGTTCTATCCCAGTTCCAGCCTGCCTGCATCAAATGCTTTCTGTTCTATCCCAGTTCCAGCCTGCCTGGTGTGGAAGAGATGATGGGAGACAGCGGCCAATCCCAGTGGTTTAGTCAATCTAGCACACCTCAGAAGGCATCCGAGAGGGCAGTAAATACAAAAATATGAAACCAAATCAAGGATAGACAGCCAAAGGCAGAGAGATGTGGTCAACCTCCTCTGAGAGCTAGAGGAAGGACTCCCCTTTGTTTGTTACAAAGAGATTATATTCCAGGGATATAAACCAGTTTCGTTAGTCAGAAAGCTACTCAAATTTTTTGTACCACTTCTTTTGGTAGGAGTAACAAAATGGTATTTTTTAAGTTTTTGTTGGTTACAAATAGCTTTAAAAGAAACATGAACAATTTTTTGAAACAAACTTTCCTCTTTGCAATTTGCTTGTCCTTAAATCACGCAAGCAAATACACATATCCAATACCTTCTTACATACAAAAGCTTGAGTTTCCAGGTGAATCATTTCCTTTTACTTGTATTTACTGAGCCCATCCCTCCTCTCGACTAGTATTTTTTGGATAAACTCACTTCCCGAGACCCCAGTAACTTAAGAGTGTCAGCATTGATAAACTCATGTACTTTTCATCCGCTGCAGGTAAAGCTGATGGGATGGACACACTGTCTGAAGATGAATTGGCCAGATGGACAATGAGATTTGCACACCAGTATTTTCCAGCAGAGTTACTGAAACACAGCAGTGACAAGAATAAACAGCCCAAAGGACATCACGGAGTTCAAAACAGACAGCAAAAGGCAACAGTAACGAAATATAGTTGCGTATTTGGGCAAAATTATGCGTTAAGTCTGTGATTCCAAGATGAAAGACCTCTTCAAAAACGGATTTCCTACACACAGAAATTCTGATGGGAAGCCATGTACTGACAAAACACAACACAATTTTAGTCAGAAAGGAAATAGCGATGATTAAGTATGGAAAGGAAGCTTTCTAGATGCTTGTTTCCCCTCATGAAGTAGGGCTGTGGGCACGAGGAGGAGGAGGGAATGGCACACAGGGAAAATACCTCAGGTCCATTTCAAACAGTCTAAAGGGGCTACCAATAGCTCTACTGTTGAGGAAAATGAACTATTTGAGTGATGTGGGCGTTTATTAAAAGCATTTACAACTTAGCAACTAATCCTATTATAAGGCTATATCCACCAAAAAACATTTAAGCTGGGGGACTTCTACCACAACTACCTCAATTGCTGTCACCACAGGAGCGCACACTTGAAGAGTACCTCAATTCAACATGCTTATGTTTAGAAGTCACCAGCATTCAAGAATGTATAGGACATTTTTTGGAAGCTTAAGTAACCGATTTTAACAGCCTTCTCTATACCACAGGTACGACACGCACCTCTGACACACAGTTTGCCCTATTATTAGAACAGACTTTGTCTTCACCTTAGTACTTGGTATAAATTCCTTTATTCCCAGAATCATTCCCAAGAGCAAGATGTCAAAAAAAGCTAATGGGAGAAAGAGACACTGGATGCCCAAGGCTATAAATGGATACCTTAACATAAAACTATTATGCTCTTACAGGCCAAGTTAACAAAAGAAGTCCGCACACAGAGTTAGATTTCTTCTTTACATCAAAATTTCTACAAAATAGGAGAGAATACAATGCAATACACAAGTCCATAAATGCAAGATACAGTACAATTCACACTAATTTACAAATGGTTATTTACACTGTTGTATATACACACACAGTCAGACCTGGTTAATGCAAATGCGGTAAGTCCTTCTAAAATGCAAAACAAGAAGTGTAAATGAAGGAATTTAAAAATCGGGTGAGAAAAGACTAGTTATCACTCAGAAATCTTTAACGCTTAGGTGACCTAAGAAATTAGGAATGGATTAGCCAGATCTGACTGCAGAAATGAGAAGAAAAAAATTCACACTATTCTGCTTTACAAAAGCAACCAGGCCACTATGGTCTATTGACTTGATGCTATTTGTGCAAGAATGCCACTACTAATAATCCTCTTTATATTTACAATATAGGTTTAACTACAGTAAGAATTATTAATTTTGGCATTCATGCCCTTAGCTTAACATAAAGGCAACAGAGTATCTTCTTGGCAAGTCACAGTCAAAACTACTACAGGATGTTTCTAGAGCTCAGTCATTTTTTTGTTGTCCTCCTTCAAATATCTTCACTTTGCTACTTTTAAAGAGACTGAGATAAATTAATTGAAACAAGCACACGTTGTCTGGCTTGCTGCTCTAGTACCTGATTTACATTCAGGATGTCCTGTATTCACAGTTTCAAGCTACCTTATAATCTGCAATGCTACTGCAAGCTACGGCTTCAAACTTCACACGTCTGTAGATGCTCCCTAGCAAGCACTACTGGCTCACACGGATGTGGAACAAGGCTCAAGGTAACTGGCATTTCATTTCAGAAAAAAAAAAAAGTTCTACAGTATTTCCTCTGAACTTACCAGGAATTGTTTTAACCTGCACTTGTCTTGAAAGAAAGCTGATGCAAAGCAGCATTGAAAGTGTGTAAAATGAAATTTCGACACACAAAATGAAAGGCCCTACCAGTACTGCGAAGTCAACCCTTGGAACCTGCCATAATCCTTGTGCTTCTTCAAAGTGGCTCAGGAAAAGCTCGCAGTATTCACTGTCTGCTTCAAAAGTGCTTTTATGGGAGTTGGTGGAGCTTCACTCCACCAGAATGAGATGGAGCTGCACTCGTGAAGAGCTTTGGTTCTGCAGAAGCAAGCTGCCGCTCCTACAGTTATTGCTACTCGAGCTAGAAAACAAGAAATACTACTGAAAAAAATTACACTAACTCCAAACTTAAATAGTACTGGTACCTGAAAAGGGAATGTGTTTTGCCAACTGTTGGGAAAGTTAGGATCTGTCAAGTGTTGAACCAAGTGAACTTCACAGCCTTTCTCAAATATTTCACAAATAGCAAGCGACACTGCCAGAAATAAAGCCATCACTTGAAGAAAATAGTAATTAGAGTTCAAAAATCCTTATCAATCTTACTTCCAAGCAGATCTTACTGAACTTAAAGGGACTACCAAGACAGCAGGGTATTATTCAACATATGTCAATAAAATCAACAGGGAGAAAGTACAGAAAATTAAAAGTCTTCAGTGCTTTCATGAGCTCTAGCAACATCCTTGAAAACTGCTACAAAGGGAAATATAAATGTCTATTTTAGCTATTTGTTTCTATTTAACTACCAAGAAAATTTGTCCAGAATAGTAGCCTCCAGCTAACAAACGCTAGTGAAAATGGTTATCTAATTTCAAGTTACAAAAAAAAAATCAGTTCTCCCATTTGTATTAGGACTTTTAAAGTATTGACAGAAATAATAAAAAAGAAACAGATTAATATAAACAAGAGGAAAAAAATCCCAAACCTTGCTTTTGTAAAATAACAGAATGCCATTCAAAATGGTCTTTTAAGGTGAAAATTTTTCATTCACATCAATTTTCTTTGTCCTGAATCAATCCAAGCTTTTGTAAAGCACGTATGTATATATGTGTGAGTGTATATATACACATACACACACAACAGTGTGCCATAAAGCAATTTTGAATAAATATCTTTGCTGGAGTCTGTACAACAGACTCCCCATAATATTTACTCTTCAGGTAAGGTTGTGTTTGCACGTGTATATGCACACACACAGACTTTGTACATGTGGGCACTTATGTGACCAAAGTGCAAAGTTTTTCAGAGTATGATCAGAGCTGAGTACACTCCTGCCCAACCCCACACTGCATCCTTGGGTTTGATTCTTCTCTTGTGGGTTTCTTCCCCTCCTGCCCCCCTCACCCCCTTTCAGATTTAAAGCCTCTTTTCCACTCAGATTTATACATTGATTAAGTAAACATTTTCTTTTCAATTCACATTTTGTAATCCAGACCATTCTCGGTATAATAGCCTTGAGAAACAAGAAAATGTGTGTGATGATCAAAGCCCCATTGTTCAAGTCATCTACTTTTCCATGTTACCCTTCAAACTGGAGACTTTGAAAAGTAATTTGCTGCCACAGAAAAACAAAAGCAAAAAAAAAAAAAGACATAACCAGAGTTTGCAACTACCAGACCAAGCATTTAAGACTAGAATCCAAGGTTAGAAGATGACAAAGCAGAAAAATGTCAACAACACATGAACTGTAAACCTAAATGTCTTGCTCCCCAGTGCAACAGGATCTCTGTTCACCAGTCTTCAGTTCCATAGTCCAGTCTGCTAGATACCACTGAAGCACATCAAACACAGAGACCAGAATAGTGTTCAAATTTAGACTCAAGTTTCAAAAAGGAATATAGATTTGGAATAGTGGTCTTTTGCTTTAAAAGCACACTAAATAAACAAGCAGCTTTCCCACAGAAGTTAGAGATGGCGCATTGTCCATCTAATGGTATGATGGTATATATCCTCAAAGAATCTGGTCTTCACAGAACTTTCACATTTCTACAGCTTAACACATTAAGGAGAAAAAAAATCAAAATGTTATTTATCATTTCAGCAAGCTGTCTGGCTCTCACACAAAATAAAAGTACCATCATATAGAAAGCTACCTTTCTCTTTCTTAAAAAAAAGGGGGGGGAAAAAAAAAAATGAAGATCATCATAACCTTTTTCCCTAGTTACAACACACTGGTGATCTTACGAGTCTATTATCACTCAGATTTTGCTTGTACACATCTAAAATATTCTCTGATCATGTTTTCTTTAATATAAGTTAATGCAACTTCAATAAAATAAGTTGTTAAACAAATCCTTTGGAACAACTTCACTGTCTGCACCCAACTTTTACAAGAACTGATGAAAGCAGCAATGGAATCATGTTAAACTTATAATAAATAATTCACATACAACATATGTTAAATTACAAAGAAGGATTAAATTGCCATTTCTACAACTTTTTATAGATTTAGCAAGTTTCTAATCCGTTTTATATCAACAGCAGTATGTATGCTCTTCATATTAAATTTAACATTGAAGGACTGTTTAGAGGCATTATTTATAAAGCAAGAACCACCAAGTGAGCATTACAGAACTTCAACAAATGTTTAGCTTTTTTTCCAGTATCTGTTCTCAGAAAAGATTCAGGGGTTGTCTTATCCACTTGGCAAGTTTCTTCCTCTTCATTACTCAGGAAGAGTTAACGTCATGACCTCCAGCTTCATTTTGAAATACTGGTTAAACCGTACAATTGCATACCTATTCAGAGGGAGAGAGAGATTTTAAGTTAACAGCAGGTGACTCCTTAAAGACAGCCACGGTAGGTAGAACTAGTCAAAAAGTCTACCTGCCCCAGTACCCTGTTCCCAATCTTGACCATTAGCAGCTGCCAAAGGAAGAAATTAAGAACAGAACCACCATGTCATGGTACTTCTTCATCACTACCCCTGCTTGCTACAGTTTGCAAAACAGATGCTGTTCTGGGATTATCAAAAGCGGTGTTTTTGCGTTCAAAAGCTCCTTACAGACTGTCCAACAACTGACAACTACAATTCCAGAGAAATCTGATCTTGATCATTGCAGGAAAGACATTTTATTCGAACGGTCAGTTTTTGGGTTCTACCACCTGTGCTTTAACTTGGCTTTTTGTGCCATCTAGCGGTTTCTAACAAGCACTTCTACTTGAGAACAGTCATGTGAAGGAACTCACATTTGTCTCTTCTACAAAATGACTCAAGCCAGCCTAGTAAACTGGCTTAGTGCAAAAAAAAAAAAAAAATCTAAAGGGGGATCATTTGCGAAGAAAAATGATGAATTTTATCACCTTGCACAGTCGTCAACTGAAAGGTGAATTCCTCTGCTTGTTTTGATGAAAGACCATTTAAAAAAATGCCAAAGACACACATCTACCTGAAACAAAACCCTCTTGGCCAGCACCTCAGGAAACAGAACTCAACATTCATTGGCATTACAAAGACTCTTAAAAAAAAGATTAGGAATTTCCAAGATCAACACCCCATGCAATGAAAAGTAAACAAGCTCTTTTGTGCAAGACCCTCATTTCCTGACTCTTGCACAGCTGGAAACATAGATCTTCTGTCTGACAGGTAGCACACCACACCCACCAGCTTGGCCTTTATGCCCTAGTCTCTCCAACAGCAACAAAAAAACCCCACCCCACACTCAATGCCCCAAAACATTTACTCCTCTAGTTATCTTTCTTGCCTTGTTATAGTATGTGTTTTAACCCAGGGGCATGTACTCATTTAGAGAACTTTCAGCAACAAAAAGCAGACAGGTAGCTTTTACTGTCTTGTTTTCTCTTGAAAAACCAAGAGCTTAAGTATGATCAGATAGATCAGGTCTGTTGCTCAGACCTCAGAGTTTCTGATAGCTGGGTGTGGGACCAGATGGCCCCATTGGTCCTTTCCAGCCTGAAGTATCCTACGGTTATATGTAGCAAACAAACTTACCCTAGAAAATCAAAGTCAATGGTGGAATATTTGGCTTGAATTAGAGCCCACAATCCCCAAAAGAAGTGGGAAGCCTGCAAGAAAAAAAAATTATATAATGTTAATCTTCTGCTAAACATGCAAACATATTCTCACACTCAGACAAAAAGTTATCTGCAAGAGATCTCTCAAAACCCAATCTTTTTGTAAAGTTATTTGATACCTCTTTACCAAAGAGATTGATTAAACAAGTTTTATAGAATTAATTACTGACAGAGGACTAACTCCATTGGCCTCCTCACTCTACATGTGTTTGCTTTTAAGAAAAATAATGTTGCATTTATGAAATAGAGGATCTAATAAGTAGGCTGTTGTCCAGCGATATATACCATGTTAAAAAAATGCACAGAAATATGACTATTTCCAGTGTTACTAATAAAATATTCTACATGTATTCAGCTCTAGTGCAAACAGGAAATTCCTTTCTAATTCTTGATATTACAACCCTTAGGTGATTATCACTACAATGCACTTTTGCTACCGCCTCGGATAGGTATGATATGATATGATCTGTAGCTATGTAAAAGAACCTCTACCTCATCAGCATTTACACAAATTTCTGATCTGTTTGTTTCTTACTTCCATTATGAGTCCAGATAAGTAGTCTGGAGGCCTATGTTCAGTTTCAGATTGAAACTATGGATTACAGTACCATACAACTGTTGGCATACTTTAAATGAACAAATATATGAGCTTGATAGTCTCCCTGGGGAAGACGTTTCTGGACCACCCAGGTTACAAGTGATACACTTCAGACTTCCCTTTGGTAATTAGTGTAAACAGTTATTTACCTAAATGGCTTCCTGAAGCTTGTACATAACGCTTCACCAGAAGTGTAGAAGGCACACGCATGCACACTCCTGAAAACATGTTAAAATGACAACTACTGTATGTAGGTGTGAATCAATCTTGTACCTCTAGTTTCGGTATCTTTGCCTGATAGTGAGCAGTTTGACATTTTGCACCAGCAGCCATTAACTCCAGTCCACATTTGCTCTTAACAAAGCTGCCCACGTGAGCTGACACAAAAGTGTGGGGCAGTATTTGTGTGTATCACGTCTGGGCTATCAGCAGGGCTCAGCCCATCTCTAAACACAACTCCATCCTCTTAGACATCAGGATGGCCATAGTTTAAAACTGACAAAACAATGCCATATATTTTAAAACATACCACCAGCCTACTTAATTGCAGATCTAACTTTCCTAAATGATTGGGACAGATGAATTTAACAGTTGATGATACAGATTTTAAAAGAATAACCCCAACCAAGCCAGCAATTTTTAAGGGCTTGTTAAACAATCATCTTCCTAGAACATGAATTGCATTTCCTCACTGCAACCATTAGGTTTTTTGCCAGAAAACCAGAAGTGTTGGAGTAACACAGGTGTGCTTGGATTAGTCAGAAAGAGGACTGAAAGAAGGCCAAACTGGCTTCTTAGCCTTAGTCCTCTTATTAATAGTTTGGCATGTTATTTCTCAGGAGAAAACAAAATAAAGTTATCTAGCTGTTGGGTAAAAGGCACTTTTGCTGTAACATCTTCTAGGAAAAAAAAAATTATAAAAAAATCAGGGACAGTGGCAAAGCATAACAAAAATGATGTGAACCTGTAAAGTATCTTCAGAAATCACACAGATAAAGCCAGCGTGAGAGTTGGGGGGAGGTATTTACCTCCAAACTACTTCTCACAGGATACATAATTGAGGCATTCAAGGACTCAACGCGACACTTATTTGTTTCTTATTCTACCTCCATGAATTCTACTTGATGTAGTTTTTTTTCCCCTCTGATGGACAAGACACCAAAGCCAGGTAGAATTTTCTGAAGGCAGATCAAAATTTAACATGCTCCACCCTTTCAAAGGGAAAGAACAAAGGAGTGAAATTTTTACACTGAAAGCCTGGGAAAGACAGACTGACAGACAGGAGACAGTTTATAATGCACAAACTGCAGCAGCAGAGAGCAGACTTACACAGCCAGCCCTCACACTCTACAGAAAAGCAGAACTTCAGGGAACCACTGGAGACTACATGTGCTACTTCATGGGCACTTTCTTACAATTTGAACCACTGAGGTGAACAAAGCCAAATCTGAAAGCAACTCCCTCCTTGCCAATATGCTGCAGGCAAGGATAGAGTTATGGTAGTACTGAAAGACTGGAGTGACCTCATTATCTGTTTAAAAAAATAATTAAAAAACCCCAAAGTATCCAAGTATCCAGCTTTACTCTAACAAAATTTTATTATCTTACTTTAAAAAGGCTTTTAGCTCAAAAGATTTACAGGTCTATAAGCACTACCTTGTTCTTCTGTCTCCTCACCATTACAAGAAAATCTTCAACACAGACCCACCATAAGCTCTAGCAAACTCAGGAACTTGACAGACCAATAAACAGCCAACAGAAATACCCACTAAAAGCTCAGCTCATTTTCTGAATGTTCAACGCCTCTCTCACAGGAAATATTCTACAGAAGGTTTTTATGACACAACGTAAGAGGAAGTTTCCATAGAAGAGGCTATTTCTTCACATACCACAGCACTCAAATTAAAGACCCCAGTAATTACATTTGTTCACAGAGTAGCAGCGTTCTCTATAGCATTTAATATATTCCAATCAACAGTTATTTACCAGTGCAAACTGATTGACTTGGACATATAGAACTTCAACTTCTTTTTCACTGACTTCTGTGCCAAATCCTTTATATTCTTTGTAGGCCTCAAGGTAAGATCTCAGCCATTGTTCCTGTAATTTTCTGTTAGGATAAAGGCTGTAGTCTACCTCATTTACTCCTAGAAAAAGAAAAAAAATACCTATTAGAACCTTACAGTGTCTAAAAAGACCATTAGTATCACATTACTGGACTACTTCCCCCCTCCTCACCCTCTACGCACATGTACACATTAATGTAGACAAATATCAGTGGTTTTATTTTGACCTGATTTTATCAGTTACATGTTGGCAAGAATTTCTCGCACACAGTAGGAAGATCTATCCTGTATATGTTTTCAGCCACATACATATTCTACTTGCATTTTGAAATTCAACAAGTTTGGCTTAGAAGCCTCAATAAAAAGCATTTGCATTATGAAACAAAACCCCTCCCACACATCAAATATTGCACATTTAAAAGGAAAAGAGACTTGTATCCAACAATATCCAAAGCTGAATTCAGATGTATTATACATTGTCACCAACTAAGCCCAACAATATCCAAAGCTGTATTATCAGATGTATTATACATTGTCACCAACTAAGCTCATTATTTCTGAGATCAAAAATATACTAGAAGTTTACCTTTCTCCTCCACTGCGCATTGGCAGAATTAGAAGTCTTACCTCCATAGCCAATCTTTTTCTGTCCTATTTTTCTTCCTATACTGGAGGTGCTTAGTCACAGACCACAGGGAGTCTGTCAGGGGTCCCAAACCTGGTGACAGTTCACCCCCACTAACTATCATTCACAGAGGATTTGGGAATTCTCTTTAAGCCTTGCTTTACGAATGATGCAATCCCCTACCAACTAAACTCTTTCCTGTGTCACAGCCACTCAAATTCATCTTAAAAAAAAAAAAAATCAGATTTTTACTGGTTGGGTAGAAAATAAATAGCAGAGGTTAAGCACAACTGTTCTCCATAGGTAAAAAAAAAAAAGGCCCTGAACTATTTGTGTGTATAGTCTTCTTACTGTACTTGCTCCTTAAAGATGTAGTCAGACTCCCAGAAGACATCCAAGATGAAAAAAACAAAAAAACTCTCAAATATGTTTTTTTAAAGAATTTAACTTGCTGTCCTGGTTTCACCTGGGATAAAGTTAACTTTCTTACTAGCAGTTGGTGTAGTTCTATGTTTTGGATTTAGGATGCGAGTAACCTTGATAACACATATTCTCAATATACACCTATGCTGTAAAATATATATCTGCAGTATTTCATTCCAGTGAGCTGAGTCTGTGTCATTTCACAGAAGGATATTGTGAAAGCTGCAAGTTCTGCATCTATCTCTCCGCCAAAACTTAGGACACGCTGTTCCCAGTTCTGGGTTAGCAGAACTGCAAAGGAAGGGCATAACTGGCCTGCAAGATGAAATGTTAACACATTTTTATACTATCAGGTGAACAGCTATATACATGTATCTAGATATACAGACAGAGAAAGAGAATATACTAGAATGACTTTTTACAAAATCAGTTTCGCTTTACGTCAGAAATGCAATTTTTACCTGCAAATTCATTGAAGTGATTTCCAATGTCATAAGCCAGGTAGTTGTACCCAGAGTACTCATAGTCTATGAACTGCACATCACCTGTGAGAGACACAACAGCAGCTACATCAGAGTCCGTATCGAATGAAGTCACAGCCCTAAGCCTTTGGTATCCTTTGAAGTTTGGGGGGGGGGGGGCCC